GTTGATACCCCCAATGGTTGGAGAAGCCATGAGGATCCATGTTTCAGAGCTGCACCAACAAAAACATAACACCCAATTGAAAAGCAAGGGTGGAAAAGAAAAGAAAAAAAACTAAAGTAACAGACTTTCACGTTTCCCCAATAACCTAGAGGTTCCCCGGCAACGGCGCCAAAAACTTGACACGCCAAAACACAACACCAAACTGCGACCAAGTGTAATCGCAGTCCGGGAATGCAGTAACAGGCAAGTTATATTATTAACCCGGGGTCTAGATCTACTGTTTACTCCGTGATTCTCTATTATCTAGCAAACTAATTCGAGTGATTGTTGTTTAAAAGCAAAAGCAGTAAGAAAGCAGTAAACTGTTCGGTTTTCTAAAGCAGGTAATAGTCACTCGGGAATGAGTCCCCCTAGCCCCTTAGTTAGGTTCAATTGTGATTCCCGGGGTTGATTTACTGTTGATTAGACTGCGGAAGATCCGATAGTAGCTTGGAATCTCTTAAGCTGACTAAGCCCTCTCAGTCTAACTACCCGGCAAACGACTAGTCTTCACCGGGATAGAAAGCTGAAGCAGTAAGCACAGAACTCCACTACTGGAATTGAGTTCCAGTACAAAGCAGTAAACTGGCTAACTCTCGTATAGCCAATCTCCTACTATCGAATGAAGAAGCTCTAACAACCTAATCAGATTCTATCTATCTCAGGTTGCAGCAGAAATTGAGAAAAGCTGATCAGACTCCAATCAATTCAATAAACATGCATCATTCAATTAAAATCAAACAGTAATATCATCCCAAGTCATTACAATCAAATCCCTAACACCAGGAACTAGGGTTCTTCATACCCAAGTGAGAGAAGGGTTCTACTCCATAGAGAGAGAAGAGAAAACAGTAATCGGAGTAGTCATACTCATAACGATGAGGAAAATCTGCTCCGGGATGATGATTTCCACTCCTATGACGATCTCCAAGCTCGATTCGACGAAACCCAGCTCCGAGAAAGCTTCTAGGATGTGTTCTTCGCACTTTCTCTCTCTAGGGCTCTGTTTTTGCTCTGAAAACTCGATTCTCCCACTTTTGGCTCGGAATAGGCTTTAAAACCAGGATTTCCCGACTCGCACGGCCAGGCCGCACGGCCGTGCAGATCACCCACTTGGCCGTGCAGCTCAAAACGCGGCGCATCAATTAATCTCAGCCATCTCACACGGCCAGGGTTGCACGGCCGTGCAAGGAATCCAGCCTGCCCGTGCTCGGTCTCGGCAGAAATCACACGGCCAGGGCGCTCAATGGCACGACCGTGTGAGAAGTCTGGCCTGCCCGTGCATGCTCTCGCAGAATTCCGCACGGCCTGGATTGTACTTCGCACGGCCGTGCGATGCCATGGTCTGCCCGTGCAGCTTCCTTGAAATCTCGTCATTCGTCCGATCTTCGTCCAATCGACCCCAGACTCGCTCCCAAGCCTCCATTCACGTACTAGGACCTGAAATATCACAAACAAGCACAACCTAGCGTGAAATCGGCCTAAAACACGAGAATCAACACCTCAAACGGTGTAAGAACGAGGGTAAAAACATGTGTAAATAACGGTCTATCAGTAACCATTTGAACACCCCTAAGAAGAAGAGACGATGGGATAGTCGAACATGGTCTGTGATGTTCCATGTTGTAGGATTTCTTGATAAGTAAAAGGATGATATGACAGCGTAATTACGTATACAAATTGTTGAAAACTACATCGTTTTGAAGTGGCTCGGTGCTCAAATCAATTGGTTAAATCGGTCGGATTTTCTGATCTGATTGTGTTTTCATGGGTTTGACCGAGCCCAACTAGACAACCAACTGGGCCTTCGGCACTCGCTGAGATACTCAAGTTTAGGTATAATTGGTTTGACCAGCAGAGCCAAACTAGAATTGACTATCATGGTTATGAATCTTGTATGAGTTTGAAGATAAATTAGTTCAAATCCCAATACTTGTCTATTTTCTATACAAAATAAAGATAAAAAATGGCGAAGACAAAAATGTCATTCATACTTTCACTCTCGTTGTAGGAAATTTGAAATGGGACGACAATTTTATCATTCCATTAGTATATATTGTGTAGAGTGTATATGTAGACATGTCCTTGCTCTACAAATTCATTTTAATACATAAAGAGATGAAATAAACCAAGCTATTAAACTCAACCTCGTCTAATGATTGTTGGATCCAATCATGCATGTCGAATTAGGAAGATGTTTAAAACTTAGCGGTTAGCCAAGCTAAAACATTCAAAGAACACGTCCCCATGTAGTTTGTAGAAAGATATGAATGTGATTGTGATTCGGGCCTAATGTACACATTTTACCCCTTATTTCTTGTCCGTTATGCTTAGTTGATCACCGTCCCTTGACATATTTCATGCTAGGTTGTGCTTGGTTTGTTACATTTCAGGTCCTAGCATGTGTGGGAAGGTCGATGACGAGTTTCAGGTCGATTGGAGGTCAAAATGTGCCAAAAAGTGAAAAACTGATCGTGACAATTACCCCGTAACAGTGAAGCGCATGCGTCCATAAAGCAGCCGCAGTTCACGGTCCTGCATTGGAGTTCACGGTCTCCCAAGACCGTGAACTGGAACCTCAAACCATAAACAGGGAGACTGGAGAGTGAAGCAGTGCGTTTTGGAGACGACGCTGAGTTCACAGGCGCGTTAAGGTGTTCACGGCTGTGAACAAAGGCCGTGAACTGGGCTCGACCTGGGTATAAAAACAGCAGCAGAAGGAAGAAGAGAGGGGAGCTGGTTTTCAGAGAAGGAACACTTTCTTTCTCTAGGGTGTCAACCCAAAACACCAAAGGGGAGTTCTAAAGAGTGATAGAGTGATCTTGGAGCTTAATTGAAGGCATTGATCAAACTTGGAAGCAAAGAATCAAGCCTAGAAGAAGATGAAGATCTAGAGGTTTCTTTGTAAACTCTCATCTCTCTATCGAGAAACTCACCCTCTTCTGTTGGGTTTAAGAACCCTAGGTCTAGATTTGGGTTTAATGTTGATGTATGTGACAAACTCCATAATTGATTGATGATTTTACTTAATTGATGAATGTTTTCATGAATGGCATAAGTTGGTTTTCCATTTTCATGTATTGAGCTTTTGACCTAGGAGGGAGATAATCCACTTAGAGCCCCCTTTTGGCGTCTTCGGGTCACTCCTATTAGTATATTGTCCGGGTAGTCCCCGTGGGAGTTGATTTGACCGGTCTCCTAGCATTATATGAAACCTTAGGTTGAATAGAGCACTACCCATCCATCGATTCATCGTTCCGGGTCATTCCCGAGGGAGTCCATCTCCAAACGGTAGTGTAGTTGAGTTGATCGAGTTAGGAGGATACCCAACATCGATCCAAAGAACGGACCTAGGACGATTCAACCCAAGGGAGCTCACAACCTTGTAAATAGCTAGGTTAGTGGTTAGCTAGGTTAGTTAGTTTAATTCTTCTAATCACCTTCCTAGGTTGGCTAGATAACAAACCCTAAACCGGAAGTAGGGTAAGTCTAGATCCCCGTGGTACGATAAATTCTTATTGCTTGCTTGCCCTATACTACACCCTATTGGCGGTTATACTTAACCGTCGATCGGGATGTTTTAGTTAGAACGAGTCATATTGCCTCATAGTAGTTCTATAGACTAATATACTAATGTAAGAGTTCAACATCGCTCATACAAATTCGATATTGCAATTCGATATTTCAATTCGATATGTAATACTGAACCAATGATATTTGGTCTATGATTTTAAGCTATACTCTATTTATAAGATAGATGAAATTTTAAATTAAGTATCAAAATATAATAAAAATAATTAAATATGAAAATTGAAGTATCAAAACACCAATTAGTACCGAGGGAAGATTTTGTGACCTTAGCTAACCGTTGAAAAGTACTGTGATTTTTAAATTTAGCTTCTTGTATGTTTTTATTTGAAATGATACAATTAATCTATGTAGTTTGATTGATTAAGATGCTTGTCATTGTTGAAAATGACCATTGTTCGAATTTTATTGTCTTTATTTTTTTAGGAATAAATGAGAAACAAATAGATCATTGTGAAGACAAAAATATTCTTACTACTTTCACTCTCGTTGCGGGAAAATTTGAATGGGGGCGGAAGTTACAATAACCAGCTATTAATATACTTGTAGATAAGCATTATTTTTTCGTGTTCTTTCATATTTAGATTTTTAGGCATAATGTTCACGTTATTCTCTTGATTTTTTAATATACCTTCAATTCCTACAAATTCTAGATAACATACATTTCCTTCCAACTCCGAATTCATATGCGAAAATAAAAAGTCCACAAATTTCTTATAAGATATGGAAAAATACACAATAGTATACTAGGACCATTTGATAAAAAAAATAGATATTAACTAATTATCGCTAATGTCATAATCAACAAATACCATAAAGATTACTTTGAAATAATGAATTAACTATTTTAGAAAATATCAAATTATTTAAAAGCATAAAAAAATTGATCGACATAAAATAAAACAAAATTCATCTGATCAACGAGCACTTCTACTATACTTTAAAGTATTGGTGCTTTAAATTACAACTTGAAGTTTTATCATAACATGAAGTTGTAATATTAGAGAATTTGACTTTCATGTTATGGTACAACTTAAAATTGTACTATAACATAAAGGTACAACTTTAGTTTGTACCATAAAGAGATTTTACAAAATAGTATAGGTACAACCCGAAGTTGTACCATAATGTTCAATGTACAACTTCGAATGGTACTATAAAGACAAAAACTAAAACACTAATATTTTAAAACTTTGTTAAATTTCCCGGGTCCGTAAAAGCTAGTCTTTTTGTTATTGACTTTATTAGTTCCGTTATAGCATCCAGCTAAGCATTGTCCGCTGGCTTTGGTTACACCTAATCCCCATCTGACACGTAATAAAACAGAACCTCCCGCGGCTTCTCGAGCCTTCCATTGTTGTTTATAAAATAGAAACGGAATCCGGTCCTCCTCAAAAAAACCGTCGCCTCTCCTTCAAAGCCCCCCATCTTCCTTTCTGAATCCCCGGTCAGCTCCCCCGTCGTCCGCGGCGGCCTGCTTCTCCGACCTTCTACCGCTCTTTCTGTCTCTGACTCCATCTAATCGCTGGAGGTATTGCGCCTTACTTTCGCGTTTTCCCTCGTTTGGTTTGTTCAACACATGGTTTTGTCTGTAATTTAAGTTTGCTTGGGATATTTATTTCCAGGGGTTTTTCTAATTCGTCCGCTCGGGGAATCAATCAGATCGACGATGAGTCATATCCTTTCCTGATTCCGCTTGTTTTTCTCTCCGATCTCCCGATTCTCACTCTCCCTTCCTCCGTACTTTCTATCTGTTTGCCGAGTTGGAATCAATTGATGTAGGGACGAAAAAGAAAATCCTTGAGGATTTCAGATACGGCTGAGCTTAGGTTGAGACCGAATCTGAAATCTGGGCTTCTTCTTATTCTTTTCAGCCCCTGCTTTTTTTTTTTCTTTTTCTGGGCAACCAAACGGGAGAATGTGGTTGCGACTCTTTGGTTTATGATGCATGTGTTTGCTTTTCTTTAACTGAAGCGCACGCGGTAACCAGAGGGACCGAGATCGCGAAAGAGCACAAGCTAGGGCTGGTGGGAAGTCGAAGAATCAGCCTAAATCCGATGGATTGACTCCCGAGCAACGCCGTGAAAGGTTTGAGATCCTCTCTTCCGCTTCCTTTCCCACTGACCTATCAATGTTGTTTGTTTCCTGGTTTGGTTCACAACGTAGAAGGGGTTTTGACGGACAGGGACGCAAAGGCTCTGCAGGAGAAGACTGCTAGGAAGGCCGCACAGCAGGCGGCGGCCGGAGGAAACAACGCCGGCGGTGGAGGCGGCAAAACCAAGAAATGACGCGTCACAAGTAGTGGGGGGTTGTATATTAGATAGATGGTCGTGGTGGGTATTATCTATGGTGGATCAATCAGATCTGGGGTGGGTGGGTGGGTGTTCTGTCCATCAATCATGTTGTTTGAGTAACCAAGTAACCATGTTTCTACTTGAGTGGCTTTGAAATTGGATTTGGAATTCTCAACCCTCTGATTTTGGCATGAACATTATAAACCTGTTGTGCAATCATTTTGGGAGTTAAAGAATACTATGGGACCTCAATCTGATGAGTCATACACTACAATATGGCAAGAAAGAAGAAGTGGAAGAACCCAACTGCGGGATATATAATTGAACACTAGCTTTTACCCGACCCGTTGGTCGGACGAATTTTATAATTAGTTCATAATAATCATTTCATTAAAATTTTCAAATAATTTGAAACATTCGCAATATTTTTTTGAAGAATCAATAGTAATCTTGCCACTACTTATAATTGTGACATTGCTAATTTTTGAATGAGATATAGCAATGAAGATATAGCAAACCTATTGATCATAGTGCACTTTCACTAAGAAACCTATAGCAATTGACTTAATAAAAACTGGCGAACTCCACCAAGTTATCTAAGAACAGTTTGATTATCCCCCTCGTTTCACTTTACGGTGCTCAGAGGTGGCAATTGGATCGGATTCGTGGATTGGATTGGTGGATCCATGAATCAAATGGATTGGATCCAATGGATTGGTGGATTGATCCATGAATCCAAATGACATCCAAGGTTTGGACCAAAATGTAAATTTTGAAAAGTTTATGTACTAAAATGTCTTAATGAAAAATTTTAGGTACCAAAATGTAATTTTACAATGATATTTTTTGTATAAAAATATAAATTTTAGGTATCAAAATGTAAATATAAAAAATATAGGTACTAAATCGTAATTTGTCATATGGATTCATGGATTGATCCATGAATCCACCAATCCAATTGGATTTGGATCAAATGGATTGAATTTAAATGGATTGGATTAAGTGAATAATTTGGTGGATGGATTGGATTAGATTCATAGTTTTGGATCCTAATTGCCACTTCTACGTGCTCCTATTTGGTTCAACACTCTAATGGTGAGAGACTTCACTGCTTCTTTCATCTATTTCGCTACATCAGGAGAAGTAATTAAGCAAAGTTAAGGGCAATGACAAACAAAATAGGAGAAATTATTTTAATTCAGCTGTCCTAACACTTAAACTATATCCCATCAGAATATGTTGTTAAGGCAACTCTGATAGAGATTCTAAAGACAAAATATGGCAGCTAAAATCTCAAAGACAACATTTTAGTAGCCTGAATTGCAGTAGGTAAACCTTATTATGTTGTGGTCTGAGTAAAACATAAATTATTTCTGCCTTTATTCACAGAATTAGCACATACCAAAAAGAAAGAATTGGAGCATTCTGCTATGTAAAGTCATGGCTGCTAATTGAAATACCAAAAAGTATGATGAACTATATTTCCAGCCCATTCAGCTCCTACTCAGTTTCTCATAATTATATAGTGATACGAAATCTAAATCGACTATGTAAACAGTACAAAGAGTATTGGTTAATTAACACGGTTGGGAAACTCTCATGAACTAAAGTCCATATGTTAACACCTTTCACTCAACCCTTCAAAATTTCATGTCACAATTCACTACATGATCAGATCTTCATAGGTATAACAAAAACAAAGAATTTATGCAATTTGAATTTCACCCCAACACAAGATTTGCAGAATCCTCCAACCCAAACTCCTCAACTTTTTCATTTGGTTCTGATAGGTAGTCTAGGAAGATCTCGAATGAGGCTGAAAGCATACCAGTATATGACTATTTGTAGCTGAATCTCACTGAGAACATAAAAGTGAGCTCAGCAAGCCTGTGTGAAAATAAATTCAGTTTAGAAACCACTCACCAAAACACAAAAAGCACAAGAACACGTCTCGATTCCATATTAAATCTTCCAAGTTACAGTGTAGACCAGTAAATATTTTGCAACAACGCAAGAACAACACAACAAACAGAAATTAGTTATATCTTAAAGATGAAAACAGGCATGTCAAGTACAAAAGGTTTCTCGCTTATAGTTGTCTTCCTTCATGAAGTCGAAAAGAGAACCGACTCCATGTAATCAAATCCGATATAGCTCTCTCGACTTCATCTGTTTGTCTTACAATCAAGATCATTACAAAAATAATTGGCAATCATGGATTAGGGTAAGAAGCAGATGGCTAATGCACTTTGAATGGTCCAAAGCTTCAAAAAGAATATCCAGTTCATCCAGATACCTACACACCTGAACCGACGATGAAGCTGCTAGGAAGCTATTTTGCAGAAAAGGAGAAGAATGGACCGGAAACAATGCACAGAGAGGTAAGGCGCGATTCATAAAGGATGCGTTGTCAAGAATATAAAGCAGTTGCAAGGTGATTCAGCTCAAACAGATAACTCGGGGTCGGAAAGCATAACCCGTTGGTAAGACTTGCCAGAATGGTTGTTGAAAGTAAACAAAGTCATACATTCGAACTAATAAACAGAACAAACACGTCGCAGAGAGAATATATTTCTACCATAGAGTATCATTGTGACAATGAAATTAACCTGATGGCCTAGAAGTAACGACCCAGAAATATGGATATACCTTATTTGTCTATGAAGAAGTTTCCTCCTCCTTGCCCTTTCCCTTGATTATAATGACAGGACATTGTGCGTGGTTTGCACAATAGTTGCTTACACTCCCCAAGAACATCCTGTCGACGAACACCAGATGTTAGCACATCACTTGTGTTCTTGTGTAAGATAAGATCACAGCAGTCCTAGTGAAGCTAAGATGTTTTCACAAATAAACACATATTTAAGATAACTTCATACATGATCTACCCTAATCTACCATTTGAAGGCCTGTCTCTACCAAACCATTGAATCTTGTTTACACATTAGCTTCTACATAACCTGTGACCCTGCAATTATGTCTACAACTCTTCGTCCACAGAACAGAATCTATCCCAAGGAAACCCATCAACATCTAGAGCTCAAAAGGACACCAGTATATGGCATCCCCAATCACCAAACACCATCAACCAATAATGAACGGCTTAGTTTCAAGTACAGCACCTTTTGATAGCACCAAAGTCTCGGGAGCCCATCACCAGCAAATCCGCATTAAGACTCTCCACAACTTCACATATCTTGTCTTTGGGATCTCCAATCACCGCCTTCCCACAGAGCTCCGCTTATCCCAGTGAGTGAATACTCGAAGCAGCGGCGCTCGCTGCGGGGAGTCGAGGATGAAATCCGCCGCGCCTGATGCTTCAATACCGCTGAATCGACCCGAATGTCGCCGCCCCGAAATACCAGGAGCAATTTCAGGCCTGTGGGGACGCCGTCTCCGCCCGGTGATACTTGATCGGAGATCCAAATACTCCAAACTCGAAGATCTGAAGACAACCCCCAGGTTTCTGCACAGCCTCAACCCGTCGACCAGCCGGCTCAACTCAAGCTCGGCGAAGATGGGCTCTCTTACGTCATCTCCCATCACCAATTTCGAGGAACCGACTTAGACCTCGAACTCGAGCAATTTAACAGATAAGGACCATCAAACGCGATGGTCGGGCGCAATCGATAAGGGAAGAGGACAGACAGACAACAACTTCTTCTTCTTCTTCCCACCTCCGATTCTCTCTTAATAACAATAGAAAAAAACAAAGGAACTGATGCGAAGGGGAAGAGGAAGGAGCTTTGCCTCTGGATTTTGTTGTTTTGCACGCTTCTTCAGTGGACCATTTCCTTCCTGGAAAATAAAAAATAAATACAAATTAAATGAGAACGTGGGCATGGCAGGAGAAAAGGTGGGTAGTGGACAGTTTTTTAGTTCTGAAATCAGGCGGGACTCCTTTTTTTCCCCCCGCTTAACACTCTGCCACATCAGCTTCCTAAAATCACTCTATGGGCAGGAAATTTTGAATGGGGGGTGCAGTTTTACTTTTCAGCTATAAATTATACTGTTGATATCTCTAGCTTGCACAATACAGGTGCGATCTGATGTTATTCCTCTTTGAGTATAATGGGTGGATTGTGTGACAAGTAACCCATATGTTTCATTGATTCATTGCACACCTAAGGCATATACATGACTTTGGTAGCCAACACATGCGAAAGGATAATCATGACAAGTATGAATGGTTGGTTTTCCAACGTGTCATAGTAGTCCATTTCAAAAATAAGACATCCATCAATACATGGTAGGAAATTGGAGTATAATGAGTCGATGAATCCGTGTGAATTTCTTCCGTCATCTATATCTACTTCACATTATTTTTTTGATATGCTTTTAAGATAATTATAGGAGGAGCTTTGCTTATACAATGCCTTCCTTTATTGCCCGCCTTTTTAATTTTACTATGAGTTTTATGCACTTTTCCTTTACAAAAGCTCGAGGCACCTTAGCCTCAAACTCGTTCTTTTAACAAACAAAGTCTTCAATATCTATCTAGTGGAATTTGAAAGAACTTGAGAGAATACGATCTAGGTAACCCACGAAGCAGATTTGGCCCCCTATATCTATAGCGGATCACCTATCACAATCTATGTTAGGTTGTTCTTTCTCTCCTAATTTTAGGTCCTAGCATGTTAATAAAGTGTGTAGCAAGTTTTGGGTTATTCAGATGTCGTTTGAAGGGTGTGAAGGAGCACTTGTGTTGAATGCATGCCTACTCATGGCCCAAACTCACTATCATGAGAATGGAATCATGATGATGGGAATGAAAGTCACGGTCTTGAGTTGAGTTCACGGGTTGAAACCATAGTTCATGGCTGTGAACTCAAGGTACATTATCTTTCACCTCGGCACGAGTCTATAATTATAAGGGACTATTTTTGGGCAAAGGGGACATCCCAGAGAGAAAGAGACCTTGGAGAATTTTGGAAAATTTCTTGATCAATTCCAACGCAAATTGGCCCAATATTCAATTGGAGTGCTCAAATCAAGTTGGAGAAGATGGATCTAGCTATGGATTAATGTTCTTCCTCTTATCCGCACACTAACTATGCATTAGGTTCTCCAAACAATAGGATGAAGTTTTAGATAAACGTTTAAGATTTGAATGCTTTCTACCATCAACTTGACATTTCTTTATGCACTTTTCCTTGTTCAAACACATGCTCCTTTTTCATTTTTTCCTATTTTTCTCCATCAAACTTTTTATCTTCTTCTAAAATATTCTTGTATGGAGGGCACTTACTTACTAAAGCATTAGACCCTTATTGATTGCACAAGAGCTAAAATCTTCTATACCACAACTCTTGTGGAGGATCAATTAA